TAAAGTAACTATATAGTTACTTTATTGCTATTTTAAAGTATTTCTAAAGTTGCTAATTTGGCAGTTTCTGCAATGTAAGACCAGATATATTAAGTAAAAATATTTAGCATCCAAAAAAAAACTTAATTTTTAGTATATAACTTCTAATTTTATTTTAATTTTAACCCTAACCTTTAAATAATAATAACAAAATTAGGTGGTGTTAAACGCCACTAGTGTGATTTATAATAACCAAGTATAAATTGCTGTATACAAGACCCGGATTATTTGCGTTCTACCAATTTTAAAGTCTATGATAGAGCCAGATATATTCAAAGAAACACTTTAAGGTGCATATTTCTTATTTATAACAAGCGCTATTTGATTATTATAGATTTCGCAGTTAATACCTTGATATAGTGAATAGTGGGTCTATTGTTGTGGGGATCATGTATACGGCGGTTTTTATTGTAAGTATTAATTACTGTGACAAAAATAGATACTGTAATGGTGACAATTTATCCAACATTATAAAACTTTGGTTAACTAATTTCACGTTTTATTATCAATAAATAAGTATTTATAAATAGTATTATAATTAAATCCTTTTTTATTTTTTGACTATGCCAAGTTCTATCGCTATTAATTCATGATATATAAATTCGAGCAATTAATAAAAATCTGCTTTATCATTATTAAATTCGTACGGTCCTCTATTCATAATCATTGCCTCAAAAAGCATTATGCGAAATTAGTTATTCACAGTATTAGCCTGACCTTGTCAAACATGACGATAAAGGGAAAATTATAATAAATAAATGGATATTCCATATATCAGGCATCTGTGGTGTAGTGGTTATCACGTGTGCTTCACACGCACAAGGTCCTCGGTTCGATCCCGAGCAGATGCAACGGCTTTTACTATAAATATCTTCATAGACTTTTTTCTTTTATGCAACGACAGATGAATTCATCCCAGCAGCAATTACGAAATCATTTCAATATTTTTATTCTATTAAAAATATACAGCGTTTAATATGGCAACCCGTTTAAAAGTCCGATCTTGGTAATAGAAATATCTGAGCTGAGCCTTTAGGAGGTAGATTAGTCATGTCACAAAAAATTGTCGGTGACGTGATCTAAAAGCCATTCTGGCTATATTCAGGCTATTAATTTTATACTTATTATTCGGAATCCAAAAAAGTTTTTACAGAAATATAGTCAGAGGTACGTCACCGACAATTTTTTGTGACATGACTAACCTATTAGAGGTAGCACATAACGGATCAGGGTATTTTATGGATTAATGCCACGTGATCTTGATATGCACCCTGTAAAAATTTTCCTGCGAAAAATATTCATTTGATGCATGTAGAAAAAAAATTTTGGATGCACTTACTTTCTAAGGATTATACATTGACTAGACAAAGGAAAAAAATGAAAAAATATTGCCGATTCATGATTAATTGATTCGAGACGCGCTAGTATTACCATTCGAATATTATGAACTATAAGTAAAGCCGAGATACAATTAGCTATCTTTTCTATTTGTTTATTCTACCGACCATTATAGTGGCGCAACAGCTGACATTTAATTTTATCCAATCTCTAATCGAGGAAATTTAATCAGGGGGTTAAAATCACTAACAAAAAAGAAGTACATGTCTCTTGGGTAGGGTTCTGCAAGTGTCTGGCACGGTGCCATTGAAGCATAGTGCCCGGTGACCCAGGCACTATGTTTTAACGGCACTTGCAGAATCCTATTCTTGGGTGCACCACCAGCATACCGGATGGTATTTAGGTCTGCATTGAAAATACTAATCTTTGGGATGAGTTTGAGGCTAACTTTGCAAAAAAAAAAATAAAAAAAAATTATAGTAAAAAGATGGACCGCCATTATTTTCTGACGAGACCATACTCTATATTATTTAAAGTTCTTACAAGTTATTGTTTCTCTACGTTATAAAAAAGAAAAAGAAAAAGTAGGAAAAAAAATCCAATGTCCATCTATTTGCGAATATACAGGGAATTATGTGATGCATTAACATTTTTTTCATACTAATATGAACTCTACAGTCTAACTTTTCTATTGTCGATGATCTAATTATTGGTAATGTCATCTTTGAGTATATCTATTTTCGCAAACCTCATTATTCTATATATTTTACTGACTCAGAGTTTGACTTTGAATTTGTCTGCATTTCTTTGCAAACATTATAATTTTAATGCATAATACCTCCGTATTATGGGAGATGGTCACTTCTCATCTTTTGATTGAGATCTCGTCCAAATATGTCTAGTCCCTCTCGACCTTCATGCCTGAGTGTCCCAAAATCACAATCTCTTGCACCGAACGATGGATATATAGGCTCAAAATTGTCATTTCCATCGTCAATAATTCCGAATTCTGAGCGACGATGATATTGACGCTGAGGACGATTATGGCTTTGGCGGTGGTAGACTTGTTGCTGATGTCGATAGTGTAAACGATGATCGTCCATACTACCATAAATCATATCGTAGTCCTCATCAGGAGGAGTTGGCGTTGAGGTTGGATGAGGATAAGGTGGAGGAAGTGCTATGTTGAGACGGAGTGGACCATTATCATGAATATTCAATGGTGGACTAGGTTGTGTGAATGCACGTGACGACATATTTCCTAGTCCATAATGACTATTCGTTATGGTGAAATGGTCTTCTGGATTACTATCCGAGAGTTGAAGAATGTAAAATGGCTGGCCACTTGGATCGCGTATGTGAATTTGGTATAAGGGTCGATTCGTTTGTCCATTCTATTCAGATAGCGCAAATCAATGATTGGCCTAACTCTATATTGATTCATAACATCATATGATCATAGTGTTACCTCAATCTCCTCGGACATCTGCAAGGGTATCCCTGGAAGAGACTTAACTGCAATCAATATATCTTCATGGAAAGAGTTAAGATTTTCGATTTCCGATTTATATACAAAGGTGAATCTTTATTAAAAGGCAAAATAAGAAGTAAGGGACAAGAATAATGAATTTGTGTTTGGATCATGCATTAATGGGTTTAAATAAAAATATCTAAACCAACCTTTCTTCAGCTTCATATATATTTTTAATATTAATATCCACATTTTGATTGGCCTTTTCAAGTTCCAGTCGCTCAGTTTCAAGTGTGGCATTTGCCGCTCGAAGTTCTTCAATTTTTGTTTTATAATTCTGACGTAGTGAAGATGCTGATTGTAATTGTGTACCTCTACATTGATGGATTATCAATGGTGATGATTTTGGAATTTATTTATTTTACGCGATTATATCACACATTTAAAGAACGTTATGAAAGTCCTAGATTCTTTTAAATAAATTGTAATACATACTTCCAACGAACATGGTTTTTTGAATTTTTTTCAATTAATCCAATTCCTTCTAGTACATTGGTAATGTCGTATATTCTACGCTTTTGTACTTTCAATGCAGTGGCCGCTGTGTTCAGGTCTAAATCTCCATCTTTAGCTTCTTTTAAGAGACAAACAAACTTCTTTGTGAGAAGACCGAGAGAACTGTCGTAACGGCAAGAACCGGTCGCAACAATGGCGGTTTCTACAAAGTAAGAGTTGTAAAGCCAAAAGCTTGAGCAACAGTTTTTTGACCATATATGTTTAATAAAGTCAAGACAGCCAACGAATTTAAACGCTCCGGTTCACTGGTTACCGTTCTTCGGTGGCTGTTTTTTAGTGGCTTGTTTTCGCCGTGAAGGACGATTAAGTACGTTTCTTCTATTTGAAGTGATACCTCTGCGGCTGTTAGCGGAGGTAAGGTTAAACGACATGTCTTTCGTTATTATTTTTGTCGCTTTGACCAGCTTGACCAAAGAAAAACTTATATGCGGTGTAAATAGTAACGGACGTCACTGCGGCCTTTTGAAAAGAGAGAAATGGATGATCATCGGCCAATTGGAAATGACAATGTATTTTAGGTATTTTTAGTGCGGGCGCTTGCACTGGATTCAACAAAATTTCTAAAAGAAGCATAATTGCCGTTGGGAAACTTGCCTAAAGAATGTAGAATACTGAAGAATAATTATTAAGTTAATTCTGCTCGTACAAATCATATTTGTGCCATTATTATTATCCCTTCTAAAAAATTCTTTTCATTCGTTCATTGTGACATTACCATCTCGCAGTTTCATCTTAAGGTCGCACCATTGTCTTAACAATGAGAACGGAAAATACAATGAACAATAAGGGTTTGTCCTACTATAGATAACAAGATTATGTTGGTTCTGTGCATATATGATTGAATTTTTGCTTTTCGTTTCGAAGCACTTCCGCATACATCTGATATAGCTGATAGTATAGATTTTTTTTGTGCCATATGCACCTACCATTTAGTCCCTGGAAGCTCTATCAACTTTATTTGTACGTAATAAGTTCTCTATTAGGTTCAGCATTTGTAGATTATATTTTCATATAACTAAATTATATCATTGAAACTATTAAATGCAATTTACGTCGTTGAATTAATTTATTAAAACAGACGATATGCATATTTTGCATATGATAACAATTATGATCTTTGACAATTTCTATAACGATAACTCATTAATTTTAATAACTTTAGGGAATTGATATTTCCACACATATCCACATATCCACATATCGATATTTTTTTCATTGAAATTGCCGCCGACACAGCATTACACATAATACTAATATTGGCTATGTTGTGCCAGTATGCCAGTAATTGCTGTGTCGACAAGATTATGCGTTGTTGTGTCAGGTCTCTAAACACTTTTTGCAAAATAGGTATTTTGCTGAAATAAAAAAAACGTTAACGTTAATATCAAAGTGATATTAATATATCTCCTTATTGCCTAATTCTTTTTTAATATCGATATATATATATCAGTATATATTTATTATAAAATTGTGATACTATCGCTATATAAACAACATTTTGCACTCTGAACAACCAATCCTAATGTATATATGATGTCACAAAATATCATACATAAAAAAAAAAAACTAGGCTTTTGGGTTTTTAATTATATTTTTTGCCAGAATTAGTAATGTATTGAGCACATGTATAACGGATTTCTTGTCGTTTCAATAAATGTTATCGTTTTTTTATTTTTGTATTAACCAAATTGGTCAAATTAATAATTGATATTAGTAAAATTAATTTAGTAAACCATGTTACGAATCTTAAATTATTTTTCAAAGAATTGTTTTAAACTCTGGCTTTTTTTATACACAATTTAATTAATGCAATACTTACAATTAAACTTATTATATAAATAATTTTAACTATAACCAGTAGTGATTATCATCAGGATGCTGTATTTCAAAATCTACAAACTAACTCATGCTAGAATTTTTAAAAATCTAACTTTAACTAAAATTTGAACCTTTATATTTGATTTTGTCTTATTTTAAAAACATATTCTAATTTTCAAAATAAAAATAATAATAATTATGACTGATTATTTTAATTATTATATATATATTTTATAAAAAATATAATTCTAGTAAATTAAAATTATTTTTTTAAATTATAAATACTATATAGGAAGCTAGTTTTTATACTCTTATATTTATTATTTATATTTTCTAATAAAACAAAAACTTTAAGCAAAAAATATATATATTTTTTTAAAAAGAGGTCTATTCTTTATTTCTTTTATTTAATAGTTAATTATATATATATTAAATATATGAATGAAAAACTATACTAAGGAAAATAGAAGTAAGAGCTATTTTACTTTCAACCTATTCTTTGCTAAAATAGTTGTTAGACCTCTAGTCTTTAATAAGGTGACTAAGAAAGGATTGTTCATATATGTAATATATTAATGTATCTTCTTATATAAGAATAAGAAGGTAATTAGTTTAGTTTTATCTAGCACTAAAGACTGCAGAGGGGTAGAAGTTGAAAATTACAATCATATTATATTACTCAAGTTGTAAGCTATAGCTGTTTGTATATTGCAACAACAATGTTGTGATGAATGAAAGGTATGTATTTGTTTTTATCAATATTTTTTTTAAAAAGTATTAGAGTGTTTTCAGTAATTAATCCTAGGGGTATAAGCAAAAATATTTTAATAAATACTTAATTAAATTTAATAAAATTTTTTATTTTAATTCTATAAGTTTAAATAATTTAAATCAAAAAATTATTAAATTTGATTAAATAGATATCAAAATATCTAGTAGGTGGTTTAATAGCAATGACATAATATACTAGTAATACAATAAGAATATATTTAGGCATCTATTAAGGCAACTAAGTAAATATCAGGTTGTTGCATTATTTTAATAATTATATACTTTATATATACTTATAAGTAGATCTAATAAAGCATTATTGACTTTTTTTGCTAAGTTTAAAAAAAAATTAGATATTAAGATATTTTTATTCAAAGTTTTAAAAAAATTAAAACACTGAATATGACAACTTAGTGAAGATGATAAGTTGTTGCCCCAAGTAGCAGAACTAGAGTTCGAATCCCACTAGTGATAAAATTTGAATGTATTTAAAAGACTATATCTTATAGTATTTTTTTTTTTTTTTTTTTTATTTTACTTAGGCAAGATCGCACTAGTGATCGATGTTTATTAAAGCTTTAATCCTGTAAAAGATTACAAGTATATCACTATAACAATAAACCTAAGATCTTGACATCTCACAGCTGCTCTACTGAGTACCCATCGGCGACCTGCCGCACTGGTGAGATAAAACTAAAAGGTAATACCCTAACCGAAAGGCTCGTCTGACCTATCGCCCTACAATAGGATACCACCAATCTGATGATATCTTCTCATAGAGAAGTGAAAAAAAAAGAAAAACTATAAAAAAAACACAGAGGTATAGGGGAATACAATAAAAGATATAAACAAGAAAATAAAGGGGTAAAGGGAAAATGAACAAAAAGAAAAACAAAATAAAGTGAGATATTTCACCCACATCAGACGGTCACAATTATAAGCCTGTGTTAGGCTTTGTAAAAATTATATACTACTATCTAAACTAGTCTCTACTCTAATTTAACTAATTAGTATATTTAAGCGAAAACCTAAAAGAAATAAAAAGCTCTTTGACATCAGCACCGTACTCTAGCACTATAAGCTCTCCAGCTTCTTTTGTTTAAACTTCCATAGAAGCATAAACAAAAGCGTGCTTCGGGCACCATAGAGAAGTCAGAAATTCACACAGTTGGTTACGAAGCATTGTTTGTCTGGGTTGTTACTTCTGAGGCACGTAATCTATATGTTCACATTCCATAAATATTCACATGTTTGTTGTGACGAGAAAAAAGTAAAAAATGCCAACCGATTTGGTAAGTAAACAATATGTTGATCTTTTGGAGGGGATAAGCTAAATTGCCCACTTTTTTACAAAATTTTTCCTGAAAAAAAAAGTGGTGTGACAACAAGAGTATGTGAGGTTCTTCTGTAAGTTTTACAGTTGTATAGGCAATTCTTCAAGCTTCAACAATCTCAGTGAGAGTCTTTTGACTACTTCTTGTTCTCAGAATAGACCTTCTGGTTTGGATGCCAAATAACTTAGAGAGTCTGTTTGATAAATTAGCAAAAAAAAAACTTGACCCCAAGAAAAACCGTTCAAGTTACGCCTGCTCTTCAGTATATTACGTCTTTTGAACTTCGTCGACAACAACTTACACTAAGGTAAAAACAGTTTCCAGAATACTCTTCTGGTTTGGATACTGAATAACTTGGAAGTCTACCAGAAACAGCAAAGTTTGATCCCAAGAAAAACTATCCAAAAAACATCTGCTTCTCAGTGTTTTACATCTTTAGACTTTGTTGACAACTGCTTTATTCTAAAGTAGGACTAAGAAGTATCTGTCTTGGACGTTCTTATATCATTTTTTTGTAGTTCAGTTTTCTGTTGTTGTTGTCCAGAGGATTGTCAGAAAGAGTTGTGATATCTTATAGTATTAAATTAGTACTTGTAATAGAATCATATTAGTTTATACTAAAAAGTAGTAGAACGTTAGTATGATATATAAATTATACAAAATCTAAATGAAGCTACTAAGTAAAACTAGTAAATTGGGATACAGATTTCTTCTTGACAAGATATGAATAGTAAGTAGTACAAATCTTTAATAGTATTATATGAAGAATCATTATTTGTAAAACTAAAAAACTAAATGAGACTAAAGTATTTAGTAAAAGCTAATAGACAATTAAAGGAAGGAATCACTTTTTTAGACCATCTAAATTGGAAGTTTAGAAACCAAAAATACAATTAACGATTTATAAAGTAGATGCTAAGATTTGGGTAAATTTTTTAAAGACAGAATAGATAATAGTAGTAGAGATAAAAGGTCACAAAAATTGCTTGTCTTTGAATTTAGCATAAGTTACAAAAAAACTAGATGATATATATATAGAATATAGGCTGCTTTAGTAGATTTCACAAAAACAAAGAACTTCTCTATATAAAAGTATATATCTGCTTTAAAGTTTTAAAAGGTCTTAGTAGCAGTTTTTTTTTAGAGCAGAAAGTTTAAATAAAGATCTATAGACAGATCTTAGGTATAGCAATTAGCAGATAATTATAGATAAAAATAGATATAGTAGAGTTTTAAATAGATAATGACTAAAGTTATATATATAGCTAATTGTATTCTTATTAATATAATAATATTAAGTATAGTTTATATAACTGTGTTGATATCAATGCAAAGTTTAATAAACTGTACCAGATCTCTAAGTAGTTAACTTAATATTTAAAAAAATTAAAATACTTATTATAATATGACTATTATTAATTTGCTTTCAAAGTGATATCACCTAGTTATATATAAAACCAATCAGATTTTCAGATCTTGCATAACCAAAACAAAGCGAAAAAATAAAAAAAAACAAATAATTTAAAATTTTATTATGAAAACTATGTTTTAACTTTTAAGCAAAAGTTTTCAACATCAAAAATTTTACATATAAGCAATACCTTTTACTCTAACCTAAAGCTAACTCTAACCTCTAACCTTAAGGTTATT